TAATGGCTAATGATCGTGAGCATTTCTTCATGTGTTTGTTGGCTGCCCTGATCTCTTCCTTAGTGAAGTGTCTGTACATATCCTGTGCATTCTGGCCTTTTTAAAATTTTATTATTTCCGGTGATTTCTTGCCACCTTTCCATGCGTATTTATTTGTGGAACTGTGCTTCACTGAATTTTCAGTGCCTGAGATTTTGGTAGTGGGTTGCCAGGCTTTTCTTCCAAGGTCTCTCTTGGTGGACTTGAACCACTATCCTGTTGGGGGTCAGCTTGAGCACATTGACCATTGTTTACACCATCCAGGAACTCCTAATCCACTCTGAGATCTTTTCCGCAAGCACAGGATGATTATTTAATCTTTGGTTTTTTTATGTCATACTCATATTTGTAAATCTTACTCATCTTTGTAATCCTAGTCCTTAGGCAAGTGCTTTATACATGGTAGATGCACAACGGAATTGTTTCCTATTAAAAATGTCATTGTTTTGATCTTACTGTGCTGTACATGGTATGGAATGTTAAGACTAAACTAGCGTATTTGACTCTCTTGAAGTTTCCCTACCCCTTTTTACCAGTCTGTAAATTATTTGCCTCTTACAAACGTGAAGAGTAGCTTCATGATTGTCTATGATCTCATTTTTAAAAATGATCTAATTTTTGAGTGAAAATGTCAGATCCTATATGTAAAATGTGTCACAGTGCAGAATTGTCATTTGTTAACTTTACTATGTATAAATCATTTTTTTTTTAATTGAGATTGCTACTCCATAGCTTTTAATGTAAGTCTTTGTTTTTATAGTTGCTGATTGCCTTTTTGTCCTATGGGAGGCAGAGACACTTGATTGGGGGAAAGCTTAAGATGGTTTAGGGATCTCAAGAAATAGCCACATATACTGTTATGTTTGAGACAGCCAAGAGCCTGAAGACTTAAGCAGTCCTCAAGAGAGGGGCAAACAAGGGCAGATGTTCAGCTGGTCCACTTCAGAAGTAAGACATTAGCAGACAGCTCAAGTTAGTTAGCTTAGGGCAGAGGCTCATTCTGCCTTTTGTCCCTTTGGTAGGTCATACCTCTAATCTAGGTATGAAGCGCATTTATCTGAACCTGCAGTGGTTCGGGAAATAAAGGTACAGGGAGAACAGCAGAGAGAGATGGTTATGGTTACTTAACCTTTTGGTTAAAAAAAAATTTTTTTTTGCCTGGCGTTCATTGTCTTGCAGTCACTGCATTACTATAGTTACTATAGTAACTAACAAGTATTTGCCTTCTGGTGGCAAATGCCAAGGGTTCCAGTCCGGCTGAGGCTAGCTGTTAGACACCTCCAGAGTGTTCACTGGGGAAGCTGGCCATGGAGCTGAACACTGTCAGCCTTCCAGCCGTCCTTAGTGTCCTCTGGCTTTAGATTTTGGTCTATCCAAGTCACCTTACATAAAAGTTCTATTACATAACTCCTTCAGTCCCTAAGAGGGCTGGAACATCTGGCAGCCACCTACCAGCTCTTGCTTTTCCACAGTTTACAGATTATTCCCAGCAATCAATCTATGTCAATTTAAAATCTCAAAAGTTACCGTATTCATAGCATCAGTCCTGAGTAATGACTAATACACAGGTTAGGAAAGTTTATGTCTTCTCCACGTTTTTGTTGTTGTATGCTAGTGAGTCGATTGCCAATTATTAGTGTCTTTATAGGGCAGAGTAGACTCGCTGCCTAGGATTTCCTGAGCTGTTGGAAGTGACTCGATGGCACTTAGCAACAACATCTTTTCTTTTTTTAAAAAACATTTTTATTGTGAATTGAGTGAAGTTTTACAGACAAAATCCTAAGTTTTACACTCAACAAATCTTACACTTTGTGTCATCTCAATGACTGTAATCCCTTCCATACAACAACAGTTGTCCTATTTCTACTCCTCCTGTCTTCCCATCCCTTCTCAACATCGTCCTTAGGAAAATGATTGACCAGTCCATGGTGAGCAGACCTTCCTAGTATTGTTGTCCCCCTATATACCCATCTACTGCTTGACTGAAAATTGGACCACGAGGTGGGGTTCCTTTCCAGACCTGAAGGGTGGCTGAGGGCCTCAGTCACAGGTTCTCCCAGCCTCTTTCTGACCAGTAAGCCCGGTGTTTTTTTTTTTAATGTGGGGTTTTGTTCTACATTTTCTCCTACTCTGTCCAGGACCCTCTAATGCCATCCCTTTTAGTGATAGGGTAACTGAGCACCGTCTAATTCTTCTGGCCTCAGAGTTGAGACTGATACTTGTATGTTCCAGTGGTCCATTGGATTAATTGATTCCAAGTCTCTTCAGTTTTCATCACTCTTTCTTCTGCACATGAAGAGACCAATAGCTGCCCCTTAGATGACAACTCATGAGCTTTTAAATCCCAGCCCCACTACTCAACCAAAGTAGGATACTTTGTGGACTATGTTATACCAACTGATACTAATTTACCGTGGGGGTCCCCTGAGACTGTGGTCCTGAGCCCCCAGGCTCAGCAACTCATTGCCTTAAGATGCTTGATAATTTCTTAACAAGTTTTCATCACTTTGCCTGCTGTAGGCTTCCCTGCATTCATAGTACCCATGTACTAATACCCTTTTTCAAACTCTTAACATACTTGTGGGATGTATAAATATATATCTGTATATCCCACTCTTCCTCCCTTAGCCTATATCTTTCCATGTAACTGTACACAGAACACTATTCCAAGGTTGTTTGTATGTCACTATTTGCCTCTCTCCCCTTTAGCCCATGTATACCTCCCTATGTCTTCTTCACCTATCCATCTCCCATCATTCATCTGTAACCCCCTCCCCCTTTCTCGTAAGGAAGCAGATCACCAGGTCTTTTCTCCCAGAGAGCTGCTGCTCATGAGCTTGAACTTTCGGTCTTTTGGTTAGCAGCCAAGCATTTAACCATTACACTAACAGGGTTCCTTTCTTCTCAACTAGTTCTTTAAAAATATTGAACAGCCCAAAGAGCTTTTGTTTATATGGATTGTATCTATCAATATTTCCTATTTTCTATGGTGTGGTGCTATGGATTAATGCACCAGACTGCAAAGCCGTTTGAATTGCAAGGTCAGCAGTTCAAGCTCACCAGCTCCTCGGAAACTCTATAAGGGTCGCTATGGGTTGGAATCGACTCAGTGGCACTTAACAACAACAACAGCAACATATTAGAAATTAAAACAAAAATTTTAAATATTTTATCATTTAAATATTTGTTAAACCCATAACAAGTAACATAAGTAAATTTTTTAGGGGTGGGGGGATTTTCCAAAACAGATTAGAATAGTGAAAAGTTTCATATTTTTATAAATTTCCTCAATATCTTAACAAAAGATAGCTTGTTTTTCATATTTGTGTATGCATTTAAATTAATACAATATGTTATTTGGTGGTAAATATAAAGAGAACCCAGTCTTACTGCAGATAATTTAGTGAGAAAACAGAGGAATATTTCTTTTTAAACTGTTATATTTTTTATTGGGAACTGAGTGAAGGTTTACAAAGGGAGGAATGTTTTATAGCCTTGTCAGATAATTATGAATATTCTTCTTTGATACTGTGCTGAAACTCAACAAATGATAGTTCTTAAAGGTTCTCTGCAATGTGGACTCTGCCAGTACACTAATGGACTTTATACCTCGTGTACTTGCGAGAGAATGAAGACCGTAAAAGGGCAAGTTCCATTGTCTGGAGCTTGGCGTAAATCTAGGAAGTAGTCATGTAACACGCTGTTTTTTCTATTTAACAGGTGATAGAATGGAGTTCAGGAGAGTACTGCTTACCTGTGACCTACCTGTGGGAGAATTGCTTGTGATTCATAGGAGAATTACCCCTATGATGAGCTCGTCTTAATTTGGGGGATGAATGACTTATCTATGAATAAATTCCCATTCACATCATTGTCTCCTGATTGGAGTCTGACTGATAAATGCATTTTTTTTATTTTATGTATTTTTTGGTAATACTGTATTTTATTTTTATTCTAGACTTATTCTGGACTCTTCTGTGTAGTCATAAATCCTTACAAGAATCTTCCAATTTACTCTGAAAACATTATTGAAATGTACAGAGGGAAGAAGCGTCATGAGATGCCTCCACACATCTATGCCATATCTGAATCTGCTTACAGATGCATGCTTCAAGGTAACTGGAGATGCTAGAAAGCAAAACACTCTGAATTTCTAAACTGTAATATAGTGCTTCCTTAGTGTCTTTCTGTGCAAAGGGCTATAGGTTTCTTTTTTAAGAAAGAATAAAAAAGGAAACGTAATGTTCGTTGTTGAAAATTGTGAGTTCTTAAAATTAGGGTAGATAGTGTTGCCATTTTACATAGGAAGCTGGTGAATATGTTTGTTGATTACTAACAATACATGTTAATAATGGTGTTAAAAAGCATCTAGTTTCTATATGCAGGCAGTATATAATCTAAGCTCCGTTCCAGTAGATTCAAAAATGAAAGGAAGAACTATGAGGTAGAAGAATAGGAAAGGTGGATATTTCCCATACAACTCTTAACCAGGCCTGGCCCTACTTAGCTTCCCAGGTCAGATGAGATTGGGTATGTTATTCAGGGTGGCATAGCTGTAGATAAAAGGAGGGTATTTCCTTTGAGAAAGAAAGATTATAGAACGTTAATTGTGATTTGGAGTCCTGGTTGTGGCGCTATAGGATAAGCGCTCGACTGTAATGTCAATTTAAACCACAAGGTTGGTGGTTCAAAAACACCAGCTGCTCCTTGGAAACTCTATACACGGTCTCTATGAGTCCTAAACAATTCAACGCCACTTAACAATTATAATATAAATGCATATAAAAGGCGATAACAAGTTTTCTTTTAGATTCCCATGAAATATATATTTGATGTTCTTTATTTGAATCATGGCCTTAGGCACAAGATGGAGAGATTTTTTTTTTTTTTTAACGCAAATACAATGGTTTTGAATGTTTTTGGCTTTACTGTTTCTCAAGACTGCATTTAAATATGGAAGTTCCTGATGTGATATGAAACCCCAACCTTCTATAATGGCTCCCCCTCTCTGCCTCTTTTTTTTACTAAGGTCTTATGTTGTTGTTGTTGTTGTTAAGTGCTATCGAGTCAGTTCCGACCCATAGCGACCCTGTACAGGGTTT